GTTCTTCTATGGCATCGTGAAGCACCTTTGTTTTTAAGAGTGTACCTCTGCGGCACTAACTGTTCTCCACTGCAGCAGCCGAATTAAACCATTTGAAAAGAGTTCGGTTATTTTTACGCATTTAGCAACGTCGGACTTAAGCCCTTTTTTTTCCCCCTTTCTCAAAGTTTTTCTGCACCACCTTTCCTTTTTTAAGGTCCATTACCTAGCTTTTACTGAAAATTAGCTCGTGTTGCAATCTCTCTCTCTGATGATGTGCTTGATTTTGACTGAACGGTTCGGTCGGCCCATCTCGGGACCAGGCAAGATGGTCCTGAGATGCCCAGTTAAGCATTCGACTGGCCAAATGCTTAACATTTATTTATTATTAACATTATTATTATAACCAAAGAGAAATTGTGCAAGTGATAAAAACACATCCTATGAGCTGTTGGCCCGTAAAAACTATTTTATTCATATATTTAGAACAAATCTGACCGGCCCACATTAAACAAAATGGTCAGGCCCCGCTGGCATTTGCCAGAATTACCAGATGGCCCTGCTTGGAAGATACAGTGAATGATTCATATAGACCATTTTATGGTGCTTTTATCACTTGTTTTTGCTCTTTTTGGAGCTTGATAGGCCCTGGTCACTGTGACCTATTATGACCTTTACTTCAGTTACCACAAAGACATTAATTCACTTGATGCACTTTAATAACTGAAGCACTACTACATTTATGATAGTACTCTTAACAGTCTGAAAAAAAAATACAAAAGCCATCATGTACATCATACTATAATATGAAGCAAAGGGTTAGATTGTGTTTTGTGTGAGAATAAGTGGTTTGTAGTCCATTAATGTGACCTACAGTACAGCAAATACACAAAAATACAAGTAAAAACGGTGCTATTGAAAAACAAAATACACAAGAACTAGTAGCAACTATCAGTGACATCAAACACTGGTTAAACAACAAGGCATTGTGGGAGTTATTGATGCTCAACATCTCTTCATATGTCTGTGTAAGTAAATCGGTGTGAAATGATACTGAATGTTATTTTATAAAATGAACATAAGCTTGTTCAGCAAATCAAGCTTCTATCAGCCGTTTCTTTTCAGTCTTCTTATCAACATGATAAACACATCAAGACATCTTTGCTTGACTCCCTCTCGCATGATTTGTGGATTTGAAAAACACTGATTGGTACTTTTACTGTAAATCACCAGAAACACTGGTTTACCTTTAAAACATACCTCTACACATCATTTGCAGCCTGTCCGACAGGTCAAACAGATCATAATCTTGTGTTGTGTGTTTTGAGGTCAAGTCCGTCTGTGTAAAGTTGGTTCAATGGGACACTGTGGGCATCCCACCATGAGCTCTAAGCAAAAGAGTAGATGGCCACAGGAGACGTGGGCTCAGAGCTGTCATGGTACGGGCTTGTGTCGATGGTCCTCTTACTGACGCCCGTGTACTCGCCAATGAAAGAGCCATCCTCATTAAACTCGATCTCTTCACCCTCACCG